TTGAATATTAGCCAACTCTCCTGGACCCCCTTTCCTTCTAGGACCCTTGCCCAGGGGATTCCTCCAAGGAGCTCCCTGAAGAGGTCAAAGTTAACTCTCTTGAAGTCCAGGGTTGCAATCCTACTTCTTGTCCATCTTCCTCCTCGCAGGATCGTGAATTCCATCATCTCGTGGTCGCTGCAGCCAAGGCTGCCCCCCTCTGTCACATTTCCCACCAGACCATCTCTGTTTGTTAGTATCAGGTCTGGCAGCGCCCCTCGCCTTGTTAGCTCATCAACGACCTGCATCAAGAAGTTATCTGCAATGTTCTGCAGGAACCTCCTGGACTGTCTGCTCCTAGCTGTGTGATTATCCCAGCAGACATCAGGGTGGTTGAAATCCCCCATAAGGGCCAGAGACTGGGATTGTGAGGCTTCTTACAGCTGCCACGTATAGCTATTTTACAGTAGCATTATTTGCAGACTTATTAGCACCACTACCAGATCTACTTAACTGTGCTGTAAACTGCATTGCACAACTATTTCCAGCACTAACTTGGGGTGTCTATACTGTATTCCATTGTGTAGTGGAGATGGGCTGTGTATTTTTTTATTCTTGCTTGCACCTTATATTTTTCTTCTGTTTGAGGTCTTACTCAGGTGGCATTCTTGCATCATTATGACATATGTTCTCATATGTTGCTTGACTTTCTTAATTTTGTTTTCTATCTAGACATCTTCTAGAGTGTATCGATACGTCTTTATGTTCTTTTTATATGGGTCTTTGCATATTAGCAATATGAGCTACTTAAGTGTATTTGTCATCTTTCCTCTTACCCCTCAGACCCTCCTAATTTCAAGGTTCTGTTTCTGATGGAATAAGACGAAGTCTGTTGGGTATCATCTTTCCTATACATATGTATGTTGTGTACATCCACATAATATTTTTCTTTCACTTATGAATGTGAGATATGGATATATGGTAGTGAATGTGTTTAGTGATGATTTGTTCTGTATTTTTATTAATGAGCTTGCAGTAGTGGTTTGGCCTGAAAATTTGGAAGCATTTTTGCATATCTCACTTAAGCAAACTTCCATGGTAACTGAATATTGTCTTGAACTGCATATTGCTACAGCTGAAGTTTAGGGATTGTTTGTTTCTTATGAAGACTGATAATAAGCTTCTGTTGCACTGAAACTAAGGATATAGCTCCTCTAAATCTTTCAAATGAAAGCAGAGGTAATGTGATGGTAAAATAGCTCATAATGTTTTAAATTATCAAGGACAAATATGGGGTCTTTTTACACTCAAGCTGATGTAGTTTTCATGGAAAGCAGGACTTCATAAGAGTTATACAGTTTAAGAAGTCTTTGTTGTTATGCCAGTGATTAACATTCTTCTGAATGTCTTATTTTTTTTCTTTGAACCCCTCTTCTGGAGTTTACATATTTAGTTCATCGACTATAAATAGGGTTGTATGGAAAAATTCGTGTAATATAGTCCTTAAGGATTTACTGTTGCACCTTGCGAAAGAACGGACTCAGTCTGGGATGCAGAGTGAGACAACTTTATTCTCAAACCAACTCCTTTTATACTCTCTTAACACAAGTGTTGCTAAAATTACAATCAATCAGCATCCTGCCAGCCGTGCAGCTGTGTTCATCTTCTTCTCCTTGCTTTGTTCCTTATCTGCTGACAAGACATTCCACATGCGGTTGTAGTCCTCCTCCTTTTTCTGCTTCGCTCCTTGCTGATAAGACATTCGTCCTTGCGGTCAACCGTCCACTACCAAGGCATTCAGCACTACCGTCTCCAAAGTGGGCCTCCACAATTTATACTCATAATTATTTGCTTTTACTCTACAAGGCTGGGAAGTCTATTGGTGAAGTGTGAGCATCACAATATAAAAAGATATATTTGGGAGCAATGAATATGGGAAAATTTAACTGCCTGATTTTTGGCTCAAATAACATGACTTCTCTGCCATCTTTGTAGCTTCTCTTGAGAAGTAGCTGCAGATGGGGAAACCTCAATAATGTCTGTGTCTCAACTGCATTACTAAGAGATGGAATTTGAGAAGTTTTGTATTCTAGAACTAATTCAAACGCCTAAGGTTTATGTAGGGATGTTTTCCCAAGGTTTACTTACAGAAATACCCTCTAGAGTCTGCTCCTTATGTTTAAAATATGTCAATAGACTGCCTTAAAGCAAGGTGGTCCTTTTGTTTGTTTATTATATTAATTGTTAATCTTTTTAACAAAGTATACTTTGAATATTGTGGGAGTTAAGAATAAAAATTTTAATTGCATGCTGGGATTGTACATGGGGAAAAACAAGGAAAAGGTTGAAATTTTGGATATATTTTTTCACAGAAGTGTGTGAAAAATAAGAAAAAATAGACTCAATAGGATATAAGCTTTACGTATTGCATATTTACCTTTCGTTCTCTACCTCTTGGTCAATTTGTTAGCTTAGGAACTGCCTTCATTTGTGCTTTCAAATTACTTAATGATTGTTTCCGTTTAAATATTGATAATATCATTCATGTTGTTTTGTTTATAGTTGCTGGTCTTTGGGTGTGGTAAGAAAATTTAAAAACAACTGCCACAGTCTTGCTGCTTGATTAAGGCTATAGATTAAACCATACGCATGTATGTGGCAAAGTAAACTGACATTAAAAACAAAACAAAACTGTAAACACAGTCCCTGAAGCAATTCAGCCCTATAAATTTATCCCAGAAAATTAGTTTTACATTTATTCTGTGTCAGTAAAGAGCCTGCTTGTTAAACATTTTTTTTTCAAATGCACAATTTTCTCATGTGTATTATAGTGTAGTAAATCAAGTTTGTTTATGCCCTGAACTTGGCTACTATGTTAATGTGTTATCTTTAGTGAAACATGCTTTGCATGAAGCATGAAACATGCTTTAGAATAGTAGAGTAGCTTCATTACTTAATAGCAGTATTATTATGAGTACAGAAATGAGAAGGATCATGAGTTATGTTTCTTACAGTTGAAAGATTTATGAAAACATCAGTTTTGATTGGTTATGACAACAGCCTTCTTAGACTTGGAGAGCCCATTTCTCTCCCTCCCCGTCTTTCTCGAACTTTGAAGGATTCAGAAGTAGTGCAGGTCAAAAAGAGTTGGGGTTAAGTAATAATTTCAATTTGGAGGCCCAGTGAAATGTTAAAACCTGATTGTGGACTAATATTTTAAACCTCTAGAAGTATATGTGCTTATTTTAGTCATAAGGAACAATTCTATGAAACATGAAAAAGATCAGTGGAAAGACAGATTAAGCTAATTTGTAGGCTAAAAAAATCACCTTTTTAAAAATAAATTACTTACTTACAAATTGTATTAATAATAGATCTTAAGAGTAGAGAAATAAAATACTTAAAGTACAACACTTGCATGAATGTTGCTCTAAATTACACAAGTCCAACCAGTTGAAGTCAATGGTCTTGAATTTGTTTCACTGATAATGAAATAGTTTTCCATTTTTTTTCTTAACTGGGATTATAGAAGATAAATATTCATTATCAATTTTTTCTTTTAGATAAACGAATTGGTGGATGCCCGTGATGTCAGCATTGGAGCCTGGTTTGAAGCTCATATAGAAAATGTTACTCAAGCAACAAGAGGACATAAGAATAGTAAAGCTCAAGTAAAGAGTGGCAATTCTTACAAAAGAACTAATGGAAAGTTAAGTCAAGATCATTCTGGAGAGAATGCAAATAATTTGGACAGTACACCATCCACGTCTTACTCAGACTGTATGGACACTGATGAAGAAGCTATTTATCATATCAAGTATGATGAGTAAGTGCTTCTGATATTATTTTGAGGACATCATATGTTATTATTTGACGTGTTTAAACCAAGAATTTTGTTGAATAAACTTGTAATCAAAGGCCGGGAGTTGAATATTGCAACCAAGGAAAGAAATATTAAAAAGCCATAATGTCTTTCAGTCAAATGTAATGAATATGCTGGGAGTAATGAGACTTTTATTCACAAGTTCCTGTGATGTATTAACTTTGACTTTATGAAGCTCAAAATCCCTATCTCTAAGGAAAGGATTGGATTTTTCTGTAGTTGTTTTTCTATGTTTTCTTTAAAAACTACTCTGCTCATATTCAGTTTCTTTCAATGAATTCTAAACAAAAGTTTCATGGGAGAAAATTCTGGTCCTTGAATTGTTTAAATTTAGTTTCAAAGTAATATTTATGCATGAGATTACAGTTCTTCCTTTCAGGTAGAGATTTATTGGAGAGAATCGGGTAACTGGGAGCATGAAATCAGTTCTGAGTTAGAGTGAGGGTGCAAAGGGATTTTTATTTATTTATAGTAAAAACAAATTTCAGAACCTACAATAGATGTTCTTTAGTAGACCCTTTGTACTATAAACTCAGTGGCATTTGCAGGGATTTCTTATTACTAAACAACTAGTCTTGTTAAGGATAAATTCAATTCACATTTTCAAAATACTTTTAAAATATGTATTTCAAGTTTTGTTGTTTTTTAATAATTACAGTTTAAATTTAGTTTTGCCAGGGGAAAAAACAAGAATGTTGATGACAAACTGAAAATCTTCTAGCTGGTACTGCTAGATATAACTTTTACTTATATACTTACCTTGGAGGATCATATAGCTTTTCAGATGCAGTTTTATATTTGCAACTATCAAATTTTATATCTGCAGCTATCTTTGTCCACACAAAAGAAAAAGATAGCTACAGTGTTGAAAGCAAAAGTTTACTTAAAAAAAAAAAAACAGAAATGCTTAAATTCACAACTCTTTCAGGACTTCAGACACACAGTATGGTTACAGTGAAAATATTGTCTCTAAAATGTTAGATGTGTGTTATGTTATGCTTTCAAAAAACTGTTTTTAAGGTTAATTTTATAACATTGCAGAATTATTTAATTGAACAATGGGTACAAATTTGTGAGAAATAATTCAACTCTAATAATTACAAACACTATGTTCTTCTTTTGTAGATACTGTCATTTTGAGTGAGTTAGAGATTTGAGGGGGAAGCCACTGGTGAAGTAGAAAGTATAGTCAAGCTGCTCTGACTTGCATAGGTGTACCCGTGCTTACAAAATGTCAATTTTTACTTCATGGGTACCTTAAGATCTAGCTGTGTGTTTCCAGTAGATGCAGACAATCATCTTAGTCTTCCTATAACATGGTCTGTCACAGCTTTGTGTTCTTAGTCAGTTGCCATCTAGAGTCATTGTGTTTTCATGTCTTATCTGATTTTTACATCACAGTCATGATTGGTCTGAAATGTTAAAAGTTTGAGCTTTTGTGGAGAAAAGTTATTTTAAAATTTTCTAGCAAACTAGATCTATGCATTTATCAGCTAATAGAAACTTAGGTAAAGGTTAATGGCTTACATAAGAAAAAACAAGAAGGCATCATTTGGGACATATGGTATGAATCTTTCAAGGTCCCACTTTATTCTTTGAGTGGTAGTTAACATGCACATTCACATAGTGGTTGGTCGTGCATATACTCTGTGTATGCATGCACTGACATTAGTCTTTTTGCCTTCTTGGTATCTGTAGAGTATGTGTATCAAGCATGAGCAGGGAGGAAGAATACATGGATAAATAGGGTAATGTGCACTGTGTCCTTCAGTTCTCCTCAGTTTCAGATGTTATCCTATTTGTCGTCTCTTTGTGCTTGTTCTTTGAGGTTCATATTCTACTATTAGTTCTTGTTTCTTCTGTGCATGATTGCTGTTACTGGATGCTTAGGTTTGGGCTAGGCTGCATGAGACCAGTCCACCTTGGCAGTCTTTCTTTTCTTATTATGTTCTTCAATGAAGTAACTCATTTCTTCTTCCTTCTATCTCCTATAGAAGATGATTTCATCCACGCTGGAGAGCTTTAAGCTCCTTGCCCACAACAGGAGCATTCCTGCCAAAGATGGAAGCAGTTGTTTATTCTGCTCTGGGAAACTGCATGGCTCTGATGAGCAGCCTGCAGATGGAGAATGTAAGCCTGGTGCCTATAAAACCATCAACATTTCTTTCTTGTATTATGGAGAAGAATATGGGGTCTGCCTCTGACACAGATTGGCAACTGCTCAGGTCCTCACAGCTCCTGGTTAGCCAATTTGGATTCCATTTCTCTTGATGCCCACCCACAGGTCTGTCTCCATATTTCAGGCTGCATCCTTGAGATCAGTCACAACATCATTGACAGATATTGGATCCCCTCTGGCTTTTGTTTTCTAGCCAGGGATGTTCAACACTGTCCTCGAGGGACGAAGTCATCCTATCACTCTCTTCTTTCTCACCCTGCTAACTTTTAAATTCTTCCACAATCTCCCAGGAATAGCTGTTCTTAAGGGATGAAGCAGAACTGGAGTACTTGCCCTTTCTTTAAGTGAGGAGGTTGGTCTGCTAGATCCATTTTACATAAATACTATGTGAAGCAAAGGCATTTTCTTGCGGTTAGGTTTGCCAAAATTCACTTCATTCTAATCTTTTGACTAAGCAGGTTGATGAGAGAGATTATGCCTACTCTGAAACACTGTATTTTTGATTCGTTCCTTCTTTCTTTTTCCTATTTAATTAGTGTTGGTTACAGTAAATGCAAAGGGAGGAAAAAAATAGCAAAGCTACTCCTGCAAAGAATGTGATAAAGAAATTAGACTTTCTGGGTATGTGCTCAGTTATACTCCAATTGAAATTTGCTAATTACTAATCCCTCATGGCTAAACATAACTCTTCTGACTGCAACCAAAAACTGCAAACTGACTGCTACATGCTTTCTTTGTAAGAAACAGAAAGATGCCTGAGTTTCATTGTAATAGCCCTAGAGGCAGTAGATGTAGCATATCATCTCATTTTTACTACAGTAGCTATGAGACCCACAGAAGATGTTTGCAGCTTATAGAAAACTTATTGCTAATTGAAGTAATAGAATTTCTCAGTTCCAGAGTAGACAGCTTTTAAAGGCCATGCTGTGCCTTTTAAGAGTGTTGTCCTCAACACTGAGGTAGACACCAGAGTATCAGTTTTATTATTGTTAAGGTTCTATAAACTTTTGGGTATTATCAGGGAGCAGCAATAGCAGGATTGCTCCACAAGGGAAGATGAGCCATGACTGGAAATAAGGCAACAACATACATCAGGAGATAGGCCTGGACATAGCTATATCTACAACATGGCTTAGGAACAGGCTGAAGACCCAGGCCTGAGCTTCAATAGAGCTCCTGGACCCGTGAGCGGAGAGTATGGATGGAGGCACCAGGTAGAGCTGGTCAGGGCCATTAAGGCCTGTTGGTGCTCTCAGAGCTATGACTTGGCTTTCAGTAGTGGTATGAGTGCTTGTGCCTTATAGTCCATCTTGTGCATTCAGTTCCTGAAGGCAGCCTTTTGCCTTGAGGCAGCATATTTACAGGTGCATTCCTATTTCTGCCAGTGTTGTGTTCTTCCCTTTCTCCTCCTTCTCAGGAACAGATGTTTTCATTTTAGCTTAGCCTGTGTTGGTATCACAGTGGAACAGTGGGTAGTAAAGACTTTTTAACTCACAGTGCACTATGAGTTTCATATACTTCTACCATCCAATTCCTTTATCCTGTCCCTTACCAGGAGCCTCTTGCATAAGATGCTCTTTCAATAAGAAGTTACTTTGTTCTGTATGTTTTAAAGGCAGTAGAGAAAGTTTCCCTTCACCTCAAGGGAAGGTTAGTTGTGTCTACAAACAAATGTTGTTTTTGTTTGTTCCCCCCGCCGCCTTCTCTGTCCAAGACATTTATAATGAAGGTATTTAAGGAGGCTCTCACACTGGTGATGTGAAGGCTAGTGGTGCCTGCAGCCTGAGAAAAATCAATCCGCCTATCAATACACTGAGAACTCAGTGTGGTTCAAGTGTCTGTAATTTTTTTTCTCAGTCATCACATTCTGATGGTGATATTACTATAAGAAATAGTATATTTTCAAGGGTATATTCAAATTATACCCTTGGGTAATATCATACCATACAGAAGATAAGGTACACCATTCTGTGGTAAAACTTCATAAGGCTCTGAATACCTTAGCAAAAAGTATCATCTGTTTGCATCATCATTAATAGGATTTGTGGAGTGATGCTCTCCGAGATCTTTCAATACCAGAAGTACTACAAGGTCTACCTCTTCTGTTTTTTGATTCCAAGAAGATATTGTTGCTCTGTCAGATATATTCCAAATCCAGTAGTCAAGAAAATATGAGCGTGTCTGATGCTTTAAAGGACCCTTAGAAGCCTAGCTTAGCCCGGTTAAGACAGTTTGTGTAGCCAGATTTTCCATTTCTGTTAGCGAGGACTCCTAAAAGCTTATTTATGTTCATGGATCTATACAGGTACAAGTTGGGGCTACTACACTATTCCAAGTCCCTACACTCTCAGATTTCTTTTTTCAGGTTCTGGATGTCTCTCCTTGCTAATGTTTCTCTATATCCCATTTTAGGAATGCTTAAATATTGCCTGTAGCCAAGGAATGATGATTTTTCTTCTTGGGTAACGGTTTGCTAAGAAAGGTTTCCATAGAGATAGCAAAACTTTCATATAATTTCCTATGTTAGTATTAATACTTAAAATTAGAAGTGCAGTAAGTAAGGTACAACTCCACAATAAAGATGAGCTTTCCTATAGGCTGCATTTTTAATGATTATGTTTTCTGAATGTTATATAGCAAGTTTTTTTTTTTTTTAAGGAAACGTGAACATTTTTGAAGTCTGAATTGCTTCAGACTTAGTAGTGCATCTAAGAACAAAATTCAGTCTGTTATATTCACTGAATTATATGAGGTTTGAAATCTACTGTGAAGCACATAACTTCTGTTGTCTCTTGAGGGTTATGATAGGATTTTTAAAAGAAAGTCAATAAATAAGAAAATGGCTTTACTAACCATATTTGTGTCTAGCAATATTATTTTTGGGGAGTTTTACTGGCATGGATTCCTTAGTGAAACTGAGAAAACTTTGCAGTATTTCTTTTAGCTCTTGAGGCTTTTTAAAAGATTATATTTGTTCTCTTGTATTTACATAGCCCTATATATTCCCATTTTCTGATACCTTAGTCACATACTCATCTTGTGTATTTTGTATTTTTGTCACATATCATCTTGTGTAAGGTAAGTGGTGACTGCTATAAAAGCCTGAGACTTCCTATATGTCAGGCGGAAACTGTGAGCTCTAGAGGGGAAAGATGTATTCAGTTGACACTTTTTTCTCTCATATCTATAAAGTTAGAGCATCCCATTACTAAAAGTTGTAGAATAAATAAAGTGATGAAGAACTCATGTAAATAGTGTGTGTATGTGTGTGGTGTGTGCTTTTTTTTTAAAAAGGATGTTAGAATTGTACTTTAGAATCACCACTTTTCAATTTTTTTCCTTTTTTGGAAACCGGGAACTTTTTTCTGAAATTGATGATGATATCTGAGATCTGATGTCTTTCTGTGCTGATAGAGAGGAAGGTAAAAAAATAGTAATATCCAACACTTCTCCCTTAATCACTTCAGGTCTAACTCGGGTTTCAGGGAAAAGCATGCAGTAATACAGATGAACATTGTTCCTTTACAGTTTTCCTGTCATCTGGAAGTTCAGAAGTAAAACACAAATGAGTGAAGTGAAGGGCTCCCAAGTGTGCTTAGTTTTTGAGTTTCTTAATGAATTCCCAGAAGACATGTAGTTCAGGGCTGATGGAAAAGTTTTTAAAACTTTCACTTTCAAAAGCCTGGTTTGTTGGGCAGTTGGTTGTTCCACTCTATACTGTATGATTTCTAGCAAAATTTTCTCTGCCCTGTTGAAAAAAAGAATCAATTTCAGAAGAAATTCTGTCCATAATAGACCTTCAGCTATGCACTTGAAATCAGCATTCATTAGAGAGGCATGTTAAAAACCTCTTGAAGCATTGTGAAAACTTTAAGAGAAATATTCTTTACAACATTCTACATCTGGAACCTGATGCAAAAGAAAATTGGATTCTGAGAGGGAAAATTTCACCTCTTTTTAAGTTATTTGTTCCTTCAAAGGAAAGTTTCTCAACTGAAGTCTCTGAGCAGGCAGTAACAGAATAAACTCAGTGAAAGCTACCTTATTTTCTGGAGAGCAGTTCTTTTCTGTCTATATAGTAGGATACTTTGGATACCTGTCTTTGATACACAATGTTATTCTATTCATGCCTTCCAACAATCTTCTTTCTTTGGATTCTTTTCATTGGATGTTTCTCAGAAGAAGAGATGGAATAGCTGTTAAGGTTAAAGATGCTAGAAGTGCATTAGTAGTACAGAATTGAATCTGGGACAAAACAACTCTTACTGTTGAGGAACTCTTATGTACCAGAAATGCTATAAATCACACCTGTTTAAATCATGTGCTTGATTGACATTGGAATCTCCTTAATGTGTATTGGTTATTTTTCTAGCCACACACACACATATATATATATACACACACACACTGTTTACAGTTAGTCTTCAGTTGATTTTTCTATTTCTATATTTCTATTTCTTTATTTTGTCTTTGGCATCCCGAAGTTTAAGTCCTGTTTCAATTTCATAGTTAAAGTAAACATATTCTCTCTCCACTATATGCTACTTTCCCTTTTCCTGTGTTTCTCCTCATAATTCTATGAAAAGGTTTATTACAAGGTATGTCCTAAGTCCAATCAGTAACTGTTTTTATTTTTGGAAGTCTGTTGGACTATAATGCTATGTCATTATCCAGGCCCTGCAATAAAATAGAAATTATCTTACAGGTATTTTGTGCATCATTTTTTGTTATCTGTAAATGAATCTGCTTATTGCTTCTATGTGTATTTTAATTTACAGTAATTATTTTGGTTAGCACATAGCTGTAGAATAGTTCTGTTCTTTTGAAAAAAAAAGTGCAAAACAAAAGGGAAAAACAAAAACGAGTAGAAAAAAATGCTTTTAAAACCATGAAGAGTTGTGTCATGTGAGACTGTCATTTGTATGGTAGTTATGAGGTAGAAATACCTCTCTGAGTTTAGCTTGGTTATTAAGAATAGATGTTTATTATTGGGCAATTTAAAGATGCAGACAATTTTAAAGTATCATGGTTCCTGGTGCAGTGATTCTCTCCACCTCCCAATAATTTAATTGAATAATACTTCAACAAATTCAAAGACAAAATCTATGTAGCTGTCCAGTAGAAGATGAACAGAACTGGAGACAGAGTATTAGTTCTCTTTTTTTTTCCCCTAACTTATCTATGGAGTAACAGACCAGGTTGTAAGATTTAATAGAAGATAACTAAAGCCAAACCTCACTCAGTTAGAAGAGAATATTGCAATTATATTCAGTGGACCTTGAATGAACTGTTGAAGAGTAGACATCTGACTCTGAGATTGTTTGTCAGAGCCCTTGTATTTAAGTTGCTAGCAGTAGCAGGCATTTCTTTATGCAGCAATGAAGTAAACTACAGTATGTATTTTTTCAAAGACTTCTGAATCATGTCGTTCACTACAAATAGGCATGTTGGAAAGTGATCGAGTCATGCTTTCATTAATAAGATTAGAATTTTGCCATCTTGGTCTAACAAACCATGCTAGCATTTGTCTCCAGGCAGTAGGTATTTTCATCTTTTAAACTTGTACTGTGACCTCATTGTAAAACATCTAATTTTAAAAACTAATACTAATTTTATTATGGACACCTCTTTTTACTGTGCAGCATCAGAAATGAACTTAATTTGTTAATTATGAGTTTGGTAAGTTTTATTTCTACCTTTTTATAGCAGTCCAGCTTCCTTTTCCTGCATTTTTTTCATGGTGTCCACATTGTATGTTTTTTCCAGAACATAGGGAAGCTATGCAGCCTCTACAGTCATTGCAGAATGGCTTTATGCAGAACACTTAAAGTTATGTTAAACTGAAGTTGACATCTCCAAAACTTCTTTTTGCACCTCTTTTTTAAATTTGCTTTGTATTCTTTAATTGTAGTACCGTCCAACTCAAATATTCCAAGATTAATTGTTTTACATGAATACTTCTCAACTTGAAAAGAGAATGGAGCTCACTAGAAGCTATTCACAGTGTAGCTGGGAAGTTCATCAGTTTTCTAATTGAAAAACAAAATTGACCAATAAACCAAAATTTCATGTCTTTTAGTGAAATGTCTTTTTTTTTCTTTTTATTTCTTATAACCCTTACCATATCTTATTAACAGAAATCCTTAAGTAATGCTTCTCCTGTTTAACATCATACATTTTTTAATTGTAGAACTGAAGAGGGAAAACAATTTTCAAATTTTAGCTGCCATGTCTAATAGAATTAGTTGGGACCTTTGACTTTACTGCAATCAAATTTGGTCTGTGCCTATGTTGAAACTTGATCTCATGGATTTATTTTTCTCCTTTAGATCATTGGAGGCTTTTTTTTTTCCTTTTTTCTCTCCATACGAGATTAGTCAAGTTACAGGCCTGCATATAGGCTAAGATAAATTTTTTAAAAAGATACTAGGTCAAATTTTTAAACAGACCTAAGCATTAACACTCCCCAAAGTTATTTTCAAAATCGTGCTTTTTACTTTACTTACTACTATGGGAGTACTAATTGTCACTGGTTTTGCCTTTCAAGGTATCCAGAGAATGGCATAGTAGAAATGGACATCAATAATCTTCGCCCACGAGCAAGAACCATTCTGAAGTGGAGTGAACTAAAAGTGGGTGATGTGGTAATGGTTAATTACAATGTTGAGGCTCCAGAAGAAAGAGGATTTTGGTTTGATGCAGAAATTACCTCTTTGAGAGAAATCTCAAGGACTAACAAAGAGGTTCATGCTAAAATTCTGCTGGGGTAAGATTTTTTTGACCAATTTTTGGAAAGTCTATTTACATTCTTAAAAAACAAAAACTCTTAGGTTTTGGTTGCTACTCATCATTAGATTAAAAATTAACATACTGAATTTCCACAGCTGAGTCATGGAGTTAAACAGTATGATTTTAGAGTATGGAAACTAAGTAATGTAGTTGGAATTTTTTGTTTGTTTGTTTTTCATAAGATAGCTAAAACTAGATGTGATTTCATCTATCATGAATTTGATCAATGCATGGTTTCCAATTGATCAGAGTATATTAAAAATGGACTTTGTGATCTTCTACATAGGAAAACTGTCCAGAGGTTTATTTATATGAAACTTTGATATGAACCATTGGCTCTTTTGATGAGGTTTTGGTTTTTCCCCCTTCTATTAAAATGTGATAATCAAAATATGCTTTATATTGGCAAAAACAATTATATATTTCCGGTGGTGCTATGTTATTTAAAAACTCTGTTCATGGCGTTTATGGCATCATGATCATGGCAGAAATTTTGGGGGGTAACTTTTTTTTCTTTAAAAACAAAATAAACAAAAAAAAAACACACAAAAAACCACTTAAGTAACCTAATAGTTATGTTGAAAAATCTCAGTGGAGAAATACTGTATTCCAGGGTGGTGAATTTATTTGGCCATATGAAGTCCATTTCCCAGATATGTGTGTGTGTGTGTTTCTCTCCCCCTCCCTGCCCCCCCCCCCCCCCCC